GGTACCGGAGGTAGAGGAGGGAGATAAGGCCACGGTTGCGCATGATGTTAGAATGCCCGGGGATAGCCAAATGTCCGAAGGCCGCGCCACTGAGGTCGAAGTGAGTGTGGTCAGCTCGAGCAGACAGAGTCGGTGACTGGTCGGTCACAATGATGGTGACTGCTCTCTTTGAGCATATGCTCTTGTCTAGGCACCTCACCTTGTAGCATGCACCGCACCCTTCTCCGCCCTTGAACAGCACCGGACTCACCGCACCAACACGAGCCCTAAACGGCTTCACGTCCACCAAGGTCCCGTACCCGCACGCTCCTCCTGCGTTTCATTTCAATTTCGCAATCAAATTTGGGAGTTACTCAAATGTAAGAATGAAGAAAATGAGTTTTGGGAATTATTACCGCTGCTTCCGTCGCCCTCGGGACTTCCGTACCAGGTGGCGGTCGCGGGAAGCCAATGAGGGACTGCCACATTGCGACCGGAGGCAGAGCCGCCTCTTAGCAGGAGGAGGTGGAGGAAGAAGACGCAGAGTGTCGGTAGGATGACCGGAAAGAGCTGCATTTTGACCGGAGTAAAGTAAAAAAGAAGTAGAAGGAAAAAGCTAAGACTAATAATAGTGAGAGAGAGTGAAAGAAATTTGGGTTTGTTTGGTTAAATAGAGAAGAGTGAATGGGATGGTTTTGGCCTGCAAAAAGCCTTCCAATTTTCCATCACATGCATCAAAGCAAAATGGTTTCTGTGTTGTTGACGGTTATGTCCCTGTGCCATTCTTCGTATTTACCAAACTTTGCCATTGATGGGACCCATTGACAGTTAGAGGCCTCCATCTAGCACGATCATCCCCCCCGTAGGGTAGGGTAGGGTTGAGGTTACTAATTATAAAGATTCCAATCTTTTTGAATAGAGATTCTTGTGGAATCCGTTTACTAAGCTTTTTTAACTTGGCTTATGATCATGTCACATTGACCATGGCATGGCCCGTTGTGTTTTACCAATTATCTTTCTGTGTGTTCAAGATGAAGTGTGTAATCTTTTGTCATGTGATACACCAATCGGCGTCTTTCACTTAATTCTAAAAGCAAAACTTGGGATAATTTTTAACAAGTTTGCTAATAAACATGTAAATTTTCATTCATTTTTATTCAAATTCTCAGCAGTTTTTCCATATGGATTTACCAAAATCAGTGGATGAACCATAGTATCTTCATGTAATCCTGTTTACAAAAATGAACCAATGGTGGCTGTTACCATATTATTGTCTTTACAAATTAATATCTTATGGAGGTGATTGGTTACTTATCAAGGTAAATCTAAAATTTTTAAAATAAAAACCAATGATGTAGAGATTTTGGATTGTAAATTCCAATTTAAGAGAGTTTTTAAGCTTTTCGAATGTTAAAGCGTGAAAATAAAATTAACGACTTTCAAAGAACAAAAAATAAAGTTTCTAATCCCCCTCCCAAGTCCCACACCGCACCAACTAATATTTTGCTGATACGATAAGATTGGAGAAACAGAATCTTGATGGCCAATCCCTTGCCACCAACGCATATTTCCTATCAGAAATATATATATCACAATAATTTTTATAACTGTTTCCGAGTCTCGTTGTTTATAACGACCAACCAACTATAGCTCATGCCATACTTGATTTTCTTTCTTTTAATGGTGGAAAAATAAAAGACCTAATATTGTAATCGTCATTACCCATTTCTACATTTTAAATTTACATATGTATTGGCAGACCGCACATGACTCCGCCACAATCTTTGCTTTTGATTATTCCACACCTTGTACTAGCTTTTCTAAAAGCTTACAAGGAAAGAATTCTTTTTGCGATACAACTTCGCAAGGAAAGATTTTGTATGTCAATCACACTCTCAACTTATAAAGTTTTATGACATAATGGTGGTTAAAGCCTAGTCCCAAAATGATTACATTCTAATGTTTTTACAAAAGGTTATAATTTATGTCTTTTTCAAATTTAAGTGTAGTGAATATTAAATGTATGTATGTATACATGGGTGAATTATCAAAGAAAGATTGGTGAAAGATATAATTGGCAACTTCAATAAAACAATGAGAATGCTTTGGTTAAAGTGGAAAAGTCAAATTGTATTATTGAGAATGACAAGAAAGAAAAAGATGTTTTTAGCATTTTCCATCATGAAATTACAAAGTCACATGAGATGATGAGAGAGTATCAATAGAAACAGTTCATCTAACGAATCTTACAGTTCACAACACATTCTCAATTTAATCACATTTTTACACAAAATTAGACTTTTTCCCCCCCATGTGCCCATAAGGCAATAAGTTTACTCATCAAATACCATTGGTGTTGGATTTATTTAACCATTCTTTTAACGAATATGTGAACACCTAAAGAATAAAATACTTCATAAGAATCTTTCACAGCGATGATCAAAGATGTTATGGCCCTATTGGGTCATGCTCTGTTTTTATGAAACAAGAACAGGTCTGATCCGACCGATATAGGACCAACCCTATAGAGACAAGCCGGGACCAAGTCAAACCGAGTAATTAATCCTGTTTTGATCAAGTTGTTATAGAACCAGGCCGACCTGACCCATCACAATGTTGTTCCTATAGAGTGGGAATGGATACTTGTGGAAGCATATGCTATAGAGAGGTTGGCACTCATCACATAATTTGTAGAATGTACGAACATCCCCCATATGTATATATGCATATTCAAGATTTTACAAGAGATCATGGTTTAGATTTTGGAGTGAGAATGAGAGAGCGAGAGAGATGCAATAAGTACCAAGCCAAATTAACCATTTTCTTCTCAGAGCTTCTTGGTCTATATTATCTCTCAACGATTTGCCCTTTCATCAATCCTTACCCTCCAAGCTCCTGGCTTGGCTCCATAAAAGGGTTCTCCAACAACGTATGGAGGCTGCTGGCGAGCATCCCGCAGGAGTGCGACCCTGCTTACATCGTAATCATCATCACTGTCATAATGACGGTGAGGTCCAAGAGCTTTGAGCAACATGGCCAATAAAACTGATAGACCCTGCCAATAGACAAAGAGGAAAGCTGTGAAACATTGTAACCAAGCAATTTCGAAGCACAGTAAAGAAGATACTTGTTGCTATCAAGATACCTGGACACAGACAATACCGAGACCTATCCACTTGCAAATCTTGAAGTTTGACTCGATGAACTTAGAGAACTGGTGGAAAGCACCACTTGGATCTTCTGGAAAGTCCTGATGAAAGATTCTTGAAGATTAAGATCATGTTTACAGCGTTACTATTGAGATTTTTGAAAAGAGGAGATAAGAACATATATACCTCCTTCCAGTCACGGTTTAGAAAGATATCGGCAACCACACCGCCTTCAATCATAATTAGCAAGACGATGAATCCCATATACTGAACCCATTCGATGAACCAACAAGCACATGCATTATTCACATAAAAAAGAAACACAACAGTGGATTCAGGAAGATATGCAGAAACTACCAAAAGAAAGCAAAAAGTAAAGGTAGTTTACCAAGTAAAGGCAACATCCATTCACGGTTTCAGCAGCTATGTGGCCGGCACAAGTGACAACACAGAGAATAGCCCCGAGACCAAGGAAAGCATAAATGAACCTGCAGGGCATAAGCAGAGATTGGTTCAGCATGCAATCTCATAGTTTATGACAATTGACAACAATGATAACTTCTCCGAGACAAGAAGATGTGTCCCTCATTTCCCGAGCCATCAAATGTGAAATTTATCATTTTTAATAACCTAACACACCTTTCAGCTTCCAAACAATACACATGAAGCTAACAAAACCAATGATCTTGTCTTGTCTCTGCCTATTTTGCTCAGTACCGTTAGCAAACTACTCAGAATCTAATCTAATAAAGAAGATACAAGCGGCGAATGGTAGGCCTGAAAGTGCTGGGATACATAAAAGAATGGAAACTTTGACCAAGCAAAGAAGAAGAGGGGGAAGCGAAGATAGTACCACGGAACAGGGTGATGAGAATCAGCAAAGGGGAGAGTTCCCATTTGTTCTTGCCATTGCCTAATCAACCAAACAGCGTAGAGGATCATGGCGATTCCAACCATCCCAAGTAAGGAATTCACCAGCTTCAACATGGACTGTAAACAACTTCTCACGATCCTCACCATCTTTTTGTTCACCCAAAACCCAAGACCAAGAAAGAGACGACGACGACAACAAAGTCTGTCGGTGAGCGGTTTGGGATCGAGGAAGAAGAGAAATGGAAAATCCCAAACTTTTCTCCTTGTCTAAATCCCTAAGCACAACTCGAAAAGTTCTCTTTTTTTTTTTTTTGGATTTGAACAAATCTCTCAAAAGATATGATATTTAATTATTTCTAAAGAAGAAGAAAAAAACAGAGACACTTGATGCCAAAAAAAGAAAAGAGAACATCGCAATTCTTTGGAAACCACAGAATTGAATTGAATTGATCTCTCTTTGGTGGTGGTAACTTGAAAACGGCTTCTGCGTTTCTGTATGGTCAAAGGAGGCGATGATTCTAACCCAATGGGTTTCCTTCACGCCGGTGACTAAGGCTTCCGACCAGCTTTTCCGACGATATTCGGAGTTTCGCGGTCTATCCTCCGTCACTTGTCGGTTGAGATCCGGCTCTTCTGTCGGATGCTCTTGTCTGAAAAGCAAACCCCCTCACGATACAACCGAGGTGCGTCTTCTAGACTTGATTGAGTCATGAATCAAATTACAGTCTCCAATTGATTAGAAATTGAACCAGTTGGAGAATGGAGAAGAAGAAGGGTTCTCGGTTTTGGCATCAGACATTCCATGGGAAGAGAATGCCATATGGAGCACATTTGCTCTTTACATGTTCTGTCTTCATATTCCTCTCAGTTTTGGGGGTTTATCCATTGTTGCCAACATACTCCACCAAAAGCTTCTCGATCCTCAAACCCAAGTGAGTCTCTTTTCTTTATTTTCTGTTGAAGGTTTTACATTGCTTAGTTTGACAAGAATGTATTGGCTGCCTAGTGTTTGATGTCAAGTCATTTCTGTATTTGCATTTGGTTACTTTTGGGAGCGGTTAAATGATCATCAAAAGTCATCTATGTCATTCTTCTATACATGATTTTGATTCTGCACTTGATTTTTCGCTGCGTGTTCGATATCAAGTTGAATTGTTTACTCTAGAGATGACCAAAGGGCAGAAGATCATCGCAAGTTATTTCTCTACTTCCATTCCTGAGATGTATTTGTTGTGTGTGTGATTGGTTACATCTTAAAACTAGTCTCTGTCATTCTCCTATTGACATTCATGGTTTGGCTACCAAGAGCAGAAGATTATACCGCAGTTTGCATGTTTTTTCTCTACTTCCATCCGTGAGAGATGCGATTGGTTACTTCTAGGAGTGGTGTCATTCTTGAAGATATGCTTTTGACTCCGCATTTGATTTTTCGTGTTTAAAATACATGGTTTGGCTACAAAGTACAGGTGCTGTCACTTGTGGTTCTCCAAATGGTGGAACTTTCAGGGACTGTCTTCCTGCTGAGGAACACTGCAAAGCCTCAATGCAAATCAATCAACTTTCTAAAGGGTAATAATGACTCGAGACAAGGAAGAAACTGGGTGGTTGGCTCAGCATTGGGTTTGGGATGTCTTGTGGGCTTTATATTCATCACGTCACTTGTAGCTGATCAACTCTTTGGTTCTAAGGTCTCCCTTACGCATAGACTCTTCTCTGCTAATATCATACTATCATTTAGCATATATAACTTAGCAGAAGCAAATATGTGTTTAGGCAGTGGACAACTCGGAGTTGGAGAAGATAATGGTGAACGGGGATGTATCGAGAAGCGGGTGTTTTGCTCTCTACTGCGTTGTAGCTCCCATCATCGAGGAGATTGTGTACAGACGCTTTCTACTGACATCTTTAGCGTCGAGAATGGAATGGAGGAAGGCGCTAGTGATCAGCTCAGGAGTATTTGCAGCATCGCACTTCTCAGGCGAAGGGTTGGTGCAGCTGTTTGGGATAGGGTGCGTTCTAGGGGCATGTTACAGCTGGTCAGGGAACTTAGCCTCGTCGGTGGTCGTTCACTCCTTGTACAATGCCTTGACACTCCTCCTTACGTTGCTCTCTTAAGCCAAACCAGCTTCCCATGTTCAGAGATGACGTAAGAGACAAGGGAAATGGCCCTATAAGAAGAATCTCTATCTGTCTCCGTGTTAAGAAGACAGCGTATAAACCGTGTGTGTGTTATGCGGCTGATCTGTTCCCTTTAAAGCGTTAGAGAGAGAGAGTACATTTTCTTTTGCTTTTTAATCTGTAGAAAGTAGTGTATTGACTAGAACAACAAAGTAAAGGTAGCTTAATTCGAATTAGAGTCGTAGGTTATTACACA